TAATAAGTTCCTGGAAGGATCTTAGATGTTGCCGGGAATCTGGAGCGGATCCTAACATTAAGGATTAAAACAAGTACCCTACAGTGAGGGTGGTTTTTTGACCTTTGACTCTGGAAAACTCCGGAACGGTAAGAGATAGCGAAGAAAAAAAAATTTGATAGCCTCACTTTGATACGGCAGACATTTACTGGAAGTGGCATCAAAATCGGATGTAAGACAAAATAGTCTTTTTTCTGAGGGAGGCCCTTAATGAAGCAGGATAGTTACCCTAGTAAATGTCCTATGAGTTTTCTGTCAGGATCCTAGCATTTTAGGATCCTGCTAGGACGTTATTAGCGGATTCTCAATGTTAGGATCCCGTAAGATCCTAGTAGGACATAGACAGGAAGTACATAGGATTTTTTCTAGGATCATCTCAAATTGGAGTAATAAAATTTATAAGAACCATTTCTAAATGTGTTTTAGAGTCACGAAGAAACATTTCTGTAACTTTTGGTCAAATTGAGACTGTTCATATGTTGCGAGAGCGTATTTTTAGCGACGTTATACGTCTGTTGTGACTGCCATCTTGGTTGCAGTTGCTATGGCATCTAAGGTATGATGCAAGGACGACGTCTTATCCTCTTCCCAAGACAAAATCCTACGCACTTCCTGTCCATTTCCTACTAGAAGCTTATACAGGATCCACCTAATAGCCTCCTAGCACGATCCTAAAATGTAGGATCCTACTACGATTTCGCTTAAGTTTGTTCAGGATCCAAACAGAATCTTAGAAAATCCTATGGCTTTCGGGTATACCTGATTTCATTAGACTTTTGCTGGAATCCTAAGAAATTAAAGCAAAATCCTAGTAGGATATTGATAGGGTATGTCTCAGTTCCTGTCAGGAAACTTATAGGAGTTTTACTAGGGTTTTGAAGTTTAATTAATTTAGTGAATTTGTTGTGTTTGATCAAAACTGCTTACTTATAGTTGGCATTGTACCCATATTTAACATACTTGGGCATCTTAAGAGAAGAACAGCAAACACTTTTTTCTTAATTAAAAAGAGTGAATTTCAAGAGATCTAAGTCCTCATAAACATCTTATCTTAGTCAGCTATTCATGTCTTTATGGTACCCTATGAACAAAGATAATGGACAAACAATTAAAGTGCCAGTTCTGTATGCTAGTAAGTCTATATGATTTTCCAGATACAGCTTACACCGAGAGAAAACGAAATGAGAAACAACAATCATGTTGAATTTGCATGGTTAATATGTTGCTTACGTGTAAGTTGTTGTGCAACCTTACAAAAATTGCCATTTGAAAATTTTACTATCGCAAAATTTGTTTATAAGCATAAATATTTTTCTGCGTTTGGGCATTTCTTAACACGCTCACCGCGATGTGACCCACCAGTGGGTCATGGTATATTTGATGTGGCCCATCGGCAGGTCACGTGATATGCGTACCTGCAAGTTTCTATTTAATTACTAAATATGTAAGGTAAATGGTTTTCAAGTCGCGTACACGCCTCAGCGTCCTGTACAACAGCTGAAGATGGAGCCAAAAACCCGCGATATTTTCAAGCATTGAATTTTTTATTTAAGCCTTTCCAGCTTGTAGAGATACTTAGAAGTATATGTCCTAAATTTTTCTCAGCTTACTTACGTTATCTGGCTGAGAAAAAATTAATTACTTAAAAGAATGTTGTTAAGTTTTTGAGCACAGGGCTATTATTAAAAGATTTTCTATCTATTCTCCATTCATCATAAAAGCTTGGCTCTTGCCTAGATCGATAGAGCAATGTGTGAAGAATATTTGCTAGGAGAAAAGATGTGAAAAATTTTGTTCCTTCCTTCCTTCCTGTTATTGACTAATTAGTACCAATTAACGTTAAATTAACCTACTCTGCTAGTTTAAGACTAGAACATCTGACCCTCACCCTCACCTTGAGGTGAAATATTCGAGTCTCAATATCTCAAGGCAGGAAAATTCATTAGGATCGAATTTTTCCCCATCGTACTACTATGACCATGGGCTACCAGTGTGGCAAGTTTCAAGTCAAAATTCCAAAGTCGGATTTTGCTGGAAATCCAAGCTGTATAGGCAAAAACTGACTAAAAATTCAATATCTCAGCAACAAAGCACCATGGGGATGAACCAACTTAGGGTATTTCACTACTCACTGAGGTCTACAAGATACAAGTAGTCCGAGCTCAAAAGCGATTTATAACCTCAAGAGGTTCCCTCGTGAGTCTGTAGTAGTAAAACGACGGACAATAATTGAACGAAAAAAACAAGCTTGTTCAAAATCTCTGACAGATGAACCTGATATTTCTGAATACAGTGCAGAAACTCATTAGAGATATCAGTTTTATATACTTGTTCTTTTTGTGCGTTAATAGTAGTGAATTCAGCAACGTGCTATGTTTTCTAGAAGCATAGTTGAGATTTCCAGTAGAATAAAACAGACTGAAAGATAGCCTAGCATACAGCCCGTGAAATTCTGTATCAGATGAATTATTACTTGAATTTTTTTGCTGAGTCGTTATTTTATTACCAACGGTGGATCACGTCGCTGCGAATGTGTTACATACTTTGTACTTTTTTGTAGAAATGAACCACCAAATATGTTAAACTATAATCGTCTTGAGTTGTGTTCTCTTTGTGATGTACGTTTCCCTGTTTTTATTTGCCTGTAGATAACTGCATTTGTATTACCAAATATGCTGTCGCATATCAGCATAATTGATGTGCAGAAAAAACAGTAAAATAAACAGCAGTACCACTAGAAAGATATAAATCTAAGCAACGGACAGTTTACAAAGGCGAGGCTAGGGAGTTAAAACAAAGGAGTTGAAGTTATTTGTAAATGCTCATAAATGAGAATCGATGAAGAATTTTACGAGAGCTAGGAATATATAAGCCACCCTATGAATTCCTGTTCAAGACTTATATTTTCCTACTAAAATTCTAAATAATTCCTGCTGCTTTATAATGCAGTCATCGGATTTTCTTATTAAGATCTGAATAGGATTCTATCAGGACCCTGGTAGACCCTACGACTTTCCGACATATTTGATTTCTTTAGGAATCTGTAAGAATTTCCTGAGATTCTACCAAAAAAGCAAGCTAAATCCTAATAGGATCCTGGCAAGATTTCTCAAGTATCCTGTTTAAGAAATGTATAGGTTTCTTACTAGGGATAATGGTTATCGATCGAGTGTAAAGCGGATAAATTCGTATAGATATGCTCAATAGATGTCAAAATTTCAATTTCTTCACAAAATTTATCCAAATTAAATGAAATTGTTGTCCGCTACTTAGTAGCGAACATATGTTTAATACACAGTGGAGATGAATTATCTGAATATCAATTTTTTCTAATAACAAATGAATGGATATGTTCAAAACTGGATTAAAAGATATCCTTCTCTACATACCGATTATACATCATACTACATCATGCTTTCTATTATCCAACAGCACGCATGCCTGGAGAATTTCTTTTTTATCGAGTTGAAGTCGAGTCAACACTTGAGTTTAATTGCATATTTGTCAGAAATTTATACTGTACAAAAGGATATCAAAGATCATTTTTTTTCCGGGCCAAAAATTGTCTTTAAGATTACCGTTTTGGTTTATTTCAATATTCCTCGTATATATATATATACATATATATATATATATGAATACCGCATATACAACGAAAAAACTTTTAAGAAGTAATGCATCTATAGATTTAAGCTTAAAAATGTACAATAATAAAGTTCGAGAAGTTCAACTTCTCACTTCAAAACTCAATAAAAATAGCTTTGAAATATATGTCTAATTACTTTTCGGTATTTATTGTAAGAAGTCATGAAATAACTTCTTCAGTAATTAAAAACTAAAAAATAAGTGCTAGAGTGCTTAAAATAGATGCAATATTTTTACTTAATATTTTTAGTAATTAAAAAAGAACGTGATCCATATGACTGTACAAAATTGTTCTGAAATTGATCGTGCTAGCCGATAAGTGCTGTCGTGCTTGGATTTGTAGTATTTGCGATTCTAGTTTGCGAATTAACAGCCGCATCAATACTGGCTATTGTGAGGGCTCGTTCATAACGAGCACCAGGTTCTAGAATAGAATTTGTATACAGTATTAGAAATTAGATATTCCAGTCTCAGTTAGAGGAAAACGAGTGAACATATCATCTCACATACGCTTTAGATAGTATCAGTACATTATGTGTTTTAAATAGAAGTGTGTCGTTAAGTGAGAATTATCATTCAAAATGTAATTAATAAATGTTTTAGGGTAAACAGGGTCGGTTTTGTTAGTTAATGCATCATCAAGTATAAAACAAATGAAAAGAAGTCAGAGAAATACTTGTTCTCGTTTTGTTTATCTAATCTTATTAGCAAATATAGTTGGGGAATACAGTTGGAATCAGATGAAAAATTGTATTCCGACTGAAAAAGTGCTTATTCTACTTATTTCAATGAGATCTCACACGCGATTCATTCACTGTTTTGTTTTGCATGATGCTAGTATATAGAAACACAACACATTCAAAACAAAGTTCAGAAATTTATCTTTCTTCTATCAAAAAATAAAACCAAAAAGAAATTGTATGTCGTGCACCATTGGATAATAAAATCTCAAGATCATTTTATCTAAAAATCTTATTTAGAATAAAAAAGTTTTTAACTTTTTCCTTCTGTCATCTAAAATCAGTTGATATTATTGTGAACTCTTTAAAATCTGTTTAAGAGCCAAAAATACAAAATCTATTTCTTCTCCAACTCATTATAATTTAACTTACGTGATGAACCACCGGTAAATTTACTGTAATTCGTGAATATTTCACCCAAAATATTGTAAATAAGTACTTCAGTGTTATTTATACTTAAAGCTTGTGGTTCACTTGTTAGAATTAAACTTGACTTATTAAAACAGGAATTGATAGCTTTCATCCGTTGTAATCGACAAGAACTGTATGAAGTTGTATTCGTTGAAGTTGTATAATTAATACCAAAATTTCTTGGTGAATCAACACATCGACTCTTATAATAAATATCTGCATGGCCATAGAAAAAAAATTCGACCAAAGTTCGTTTTCGTCGTCTTCTACTTGTTGACGTACTATATTGAGTGCCGTTAACTGTTCTTATTGCTTGTCGTATTACACATGCATAAAGACTGGCATCATAATGATTAGCAATCAAAGCGCGATAACACTAAAAAAAAAAAAAAATAGATAATAAATCAAGACTTTATATTATTCAAGATGATTACTGCTTACCGCTTGGCTTAATGCATAACTACTTCGAATTAGAACACTGGCACTTAGATTCCCATATAATGTTGCATTGAATGTATCATTATTAAATACGGCTC